AAGACATAATGAGACATGAAGACATAATGAGACAAGAAGTGATGAAGTGTCATGAAGACATAATGAGACATGAACACATATGAATGTGTGTGTAGTAGAGAGCTGTATGGAGGTAAATGAGGGCACAGAATATATTGTAAAAACTCTTTGAGTATCTTGATTAGATAGATAGGTGCTATCTAAGTACCGTCCATTTGTCATTTATATAACTATTTTGGATCATTGCTGAAGAAACAAACCTATCCATTTTAATGGAAGATCCCTGATCTATAGGACGGATGGAAGTGCCAGGGTAGGAGTTCTGGATGGATTATGAATATCTGCTCTCAGTGAACAGTGTGTAAAGTGGGTGGTTAAGGCCAACTGTACAGAGAAATGGTGTCATAAAATGTACATCAATCAAAAACTAAATGTGCAACAAATTAATTATCCAGCGAAAATAAGCAGTCAGGGTACAGGTCAACAGTGGAAAAACACCTACCCTGTTTTGGCAAAATTTGTCCAGTAGGTCATTACGACAGCACTCAGCATCACATCGTTCTTGGAGAAGTTGCAGTTGAAAAGATCTGTTGGGCCGATCATAGGGATCCCAAATACGTAGGGTATCTCATCACCATGGGAAGAATCAGCCCAGCTAGGCTTCATGTCACTCTGACAGTGGTGGTAGAAGGCGTAGAAGTAGGTGGGAGAGCCATACTGGGCGTGGAGGTCTGCTGTGGCCACAGCAGGTGCCACCCACTGGTGGTCGGTGAAGAGAGCCACCAGGGTCTTTCTGCGGGTCTCTGGGTTATCCTTGTCTGCCCAGTCAGTGTACATGAATTTGATGGTCTCCCGCAGGGTGTCCTTACCCTCTGGGTATCCGTACAGGTGGTCCACAAAGTCAGACACAGCAAAATCAAAATCATTAGCAGACACTCCATCCTCACTGTCCACAATTCCATCCACAAACTTAAAGCCCTCACCCTGATTAACCCCCAGCATAATGTCATAGTTGAGGAACTCTCCTTGCTCCATGAGAATCTGAGGGTCATCAGGGATAACATCTCCATCGATCACTGGCCCGAAGGCAATGTGATATTTTGCAGGTGTGACATACTGCTCAATCAGCTCCTTGTAGTTCTTCTTCTGGAGACACTCCACAAGGTCCATGGTGTCCAGCATGTTGCAGCCCACCTTCTCAGCCAGAGATCGGGTGTACTTCGCAGGCTGGTAATTGACCGCCCAGCTGGAAAGGGCTGTGCCACTCTGAATGATGGCTTTCTGAAACAAATCTGAGAATAGGACAGATATTAATAGCATATACATCAAAACCTAAAGGAAGGAATGCATCAAATATTAGTTAAGCCTTACTTAACCTTTAATTTGAATTTATTTTGAGTACCATTTTGATATTACATGAGCTCAGAAAAAAGAAAGAACAAAGGTACCAATCACTGGCGGAACCAAAACATTAAGTTTTAAGCTGTGTCGAAGAAGCGCACTGCCTCATTTCAACCCCAAACAATTAAAACTGAAATCATTGCATACAGTTGCTTGTTATAAAATTAGAATATCATGAAAAGGTGGATTTATTTCAGTAATTCTATTCAAAAAGTGAAACGTGTATATTATATTCATTCATTACATTCAGACTGATATACTGTATTTCAAAAGTTTATTTCTTTTAGTGTTGATGATTATAACTGACAACTAATGAAAACTCCAAACTCAGTATCTCAGAACATTAGAATATTGTGAAAATGTTCAATATCGAAGACATCGGGTGCCACACTCTAATCAGCTAATTAACTCAAAACACCTGCAAAGGCCTTTAAATGGTCTCTCAGTCTAGTTCTGTAGCTACAAAATCATGGGGAAGTTGTTAGTTAGTTGTTAGTTGTCCAAAAGATGACCCCTGACACCTTGCACAAGGAGGGTAAGACACAAAAGTTCATTGCTAAAGAGGCTGGCTGTTCACAGAGCTCTGTGTCCAAGCACATTAATAGAGAGGCAAAGGGAAGGAAAAAAAATGGTAGAAAAAAGTGCACGAGCAGTAGGGATAACTGTACCCTGGAGAGAATTGTGAAACAAAACCCATTCCAAAATGTGGGGGAGATTCACAAAGAGTGGACTGCAGCTGGAGTCAGTGCTTCAAGGACCACCACGCTCAGACGTATGCAAGACAAGGGTTTCAGCTGTTGCATTCCTTGTGTCAAGCCACTCTTGAACAAGAAACAGAGTCAGAAGCATCTTGCCGGGCTAAAGACCAAAAAGACTGGACTGCTGCTGAGTGGGCGAAAGGTATGTTCCCTGATGAAAGTAAATGTTGCATTTCCTTTGGAAATCAAGGTCCCAGAGTCTGGAGGAAGAGAGGAGAGGCACAGAATCCATGTTGCTTGAGGTCCAGTGTCAAGTTTCCACAGTCAGTAATGGGATCCAAGGTCAAATGGACTGTAAATGGACTGTACTTATATAGCACCTTTCTATCTTATCGAGATATTCAAAGCACTTTACACTACAATCTGTGTCCTCATTTATCCATTCATACAGCTCTATACTAGATCTCTACAACGCTAATTGAACAAATCATTCTAAAGAGACTAATCAGAGCTTTATCACATTCATACACCGACAGGACACACATCGGAGGCAACGAGGGGTTCAGTGTCTTGCCCAGGGACACTTTGGCATGTGACTGCTGGTGGATTTGAACCCCCAAGTCTTGCATTGGAGGACGATGGCTCTAACCACTTAGCCACAGCCGCCCTGTCAACACAGCCATCTACCAGAAAGTTTTAAAGCACTCTATGCTTCCTGCTGCTGACCAACTTTCTCCTCCATGTGAGTTAATTGTATTGCTACCTGTCATGTCAAGTTCTCAGTAGTGGTTCTTTGTGCCTCTACCAGAGTGAAACTGCCCCCAGTGTTAGTTGAGTATTTCAGCAAAGATGCTTTTTGTTTTTAGATGCCCTGTATCAATACCTTGAGTCCTTTTTTTTACTTTTGTGAAACCCGAACCTGGCAGAATGAACCCACCATACTTCAAGGACTCATTGGATCCAACTACCAGGTATGGCCTCCTGATAGCCGCTGAGGAGAGCTGGGAATTCAGCAGATTATTAATGGAGCAATTAGCATTGTTGCAGACCACCACCAACTTGAAATATCAACTGGAGATTTGCTAGTGTTTAGAAGACATGTTTACTGCCAGTCCAACTGGCAAGCCAGTGGGTGCAGTGAGTTCCAGGAGTCAAATGTGTCACCATCTCAGTGGGATTGTTCTTCGTGGTCATGGAGTCTTCAAGTTACCAACCCTCTTCAGTTGTCTCTCCATGTTCCAGTCATACCAACCAACCAGTCTGTTCAAGAGAGGTCCTGTCTCTGGGAGAAAGCCAGTGGGTCTCCATTCGAGCAATCATCCAGTGTAGGAGATCCGGAGATGATACTGTTGAACATTATTTCCCAGGTTTTCCAGGCTGTCAAACAGGGGGTTGAGGTCCCCGGCTGCCACACTAGTGGCTCTCTTATGAACTGCTACCCTTTAGTTTTCTTGTAATCTTTTTGGAGACAAATATCATCTTTGGGTTTCAGTTGTTTTTTCTTGGTCAGAATTTTGTTTTGGTCCCTCCTGTCCACTGGCGAGCCGTGATCTGTTTTTTCTTAAATTTTTATATTTAATTAAATTTATTGTTTTGGGGGTGTCAGGAGCCACCCATTAGAAAAGGTCCTGTCATGATATTGGTTTTGTGGGCTCATATTATCTGTATGTTTCCAGCATATTTTATTTTCCTTAATGCTCTCGGTGAAGGCGGATGCTTTTCCCTCGTACTCCTTCCCTGCTCTGCTCTTTGTCCTGGGAACCATTTTTAGAGCCTCTTTTTGCATATCTTCTGAAGTGTAAATTTTGGATCTGGTCAGCTGGTCTCTCAGCGCAATCGATCAAATTTTCTCCATGAGAAGACGGGGGAAGGAGAGCCCTCCTGCCCTGACGGGACACTGGCAGCTGGATACACGATGGATTCCCGGGGGAAGTGGATGATTGTGTGTCTATCCACCTCATCAGTTGAAGAGACTTAAGATGTGTACATAATTGGATTTATGATAACAGGATTTCTGCTTTTTGGAGCTGGTGGTTACCTGGCATAATGACAAAAAAAGGGGCCGATTCAGCCAAAAAATGACAGTGGAAAGCACTCAAACCGGAACAAACGGAGCCGAATTGGGCTGAAGAGGAGCGGTGGAAAAGGGGCATTAATGTTGTGCAATTAGTACTGGCTGTACTCTGTCCACATTTTCAAGGTAAAGATTCAGCTCCTGTGTGAGGTCACAGTGGAATGAACCATTGTTAGGCTAATGGGGGAAGACAGTTTTAAAAGGCAAAAATGTGTTGTTTTGTTTGTATAAGCTTTCCTTTCGTTACGTCGCTTAAAATTGAAGTTTTTGTAAATGAATTGTTAGGGGGGTATATCTTTGTTTTTCCAAGATGGTCGTGGTGGTGGTGGTGGTGGTGTGTGTGTGTGTGTGTGGGGGGGGGGGGTTCCCAGACCTCCATCTCAAAGTTCAGTCGATTCTTTTGCTTCAAACTCAAACAGATTAATAAGATATTCCAAGTTCATTTTCTCAGCTTCATAGTCAACGTATCAATGAGTGATGTCAGCGCTCTGTCTTTTTGGTTTTTATTTAAAAAGCAGAAGATAAACTTGTCCTGTCAGCCCTGAGATGCTAGATGAAGGAGGTCTGGATCAATAAGAGAAAGATCACTACTCATCTGACTGAATCAATAAATGGATCATCATAGTAAGAACATGGTACAAGTCTGACAGGTTGGTCCTGCTGGACATGTGTTCCTTCAGCCAATTAGCAAATAGGTCAACATTCAGAGACTGCTGGATCTGTGAGGGTTCCTTGGAGGGTGGGGGTTCTATTTATAGTAATGGAGCCGTGACTCAACCAGGCCAACAGAAAAAAGATGTTTGGAATGCAGGCAGATCTTTAGCTCCATGCAGCCGATCTGAGCCTGATGTGGATCATCAGATCCTCTCCTCAGACCTAATGTGGATCCTCTCCTCAGACCTAATGTGGATCCTCTCCTCAGGCCTGATGTGGATCATGAGATCCTCTCCTCAGGCCTGATGTGGATCATGAGATCCTCTCCTCAGACCTAATGTGGATTATCAGATCATCTCCTCAGACCTGATGTGGATCATCAGATCCTCTCCTCAGACCTAATGTGGATCCTCTCCTCAGACCTTATGTGGATCATGAGATCCTCTCCTCAGGCCTGATGTGGATCATGAGATCCTCTCCTCAGACCTGATGTGGATCATCAGACCCTCTCCTCAGAC